GGATTTTCTCAAGGAAGAATTCTGAAGGAAGGGGGAGGAAAAGTGTGAAAGGGAGGGAGGGAGGGGGGAAGGAAGGAAGGAAGGAAAGAAGGAAGGAAGGAAGGAAGGAAGGAAGGAAGGAAGGAAGGAAGGAAGGAAGGAAGGAAGGAAGGAAGGAAGGAAGGAAGGCACTAGCATGCTAGAAAAATGTAGGAGAGGACTGAGTCAGAAAGGAAAATTTCTGATGTTCCTTTTCTGCTTCCCACAAGGAAACTCAATGGGTGAGCCAGCAGAAAGTCAGTGCTTCAACTGCCTTTGGTCATTCTGTTTCTCTATTTAAGTAAGGAAATATGTTTGAAACAATGACACAATGAGATTGTCTAGTACCCAATAAAATCATTTTGTGTTCATTATTATAGTAGCTTATATAAACAGAATTTTGAGTTTCAAAGTGTATAACATTTTTCACAAAAAAAGATATGAGAAACAATATGACCGATGCAATAGCTTGTGGTTTAGAGGGAAATTTAAGTCATCTGCCACCTGACAATGGACATTTTAAGATTAGTAAATGTTGGCCTTGTAACAGGAATGAATTTATGTTTTTGCCAGTCAATATGAAAACTACCGTCCTTAACTGGATCAAATAAAAAGATATATATTTCAATATGATTTAATTTAACTGTAATTCAGATAAAATATTTAAATTTAAAAATAGCTTTCATCTGCCTAAAGCAATTTAATTTATGTCAATTCAAGGGAGTTGCAAATTTTGTCTGGCACATTGGGACCACTTTTTAAAAGTGAGCAGCACCAAGATCTGTTTGGGAGGGAAGGTCAGGTACTGTATAAAGGACCCATCTTATTCCTAATCTATTACCACATTCTGCAACATGAAAAGACGGGCTAGAATTTTGGCACAGTCTAGCCAGGGGAGGCCCTGGGGATTTCCAAAGGCAGGCCACATTTCTTGCAATCTTTCCCAAGAAGCTTCCATACTTTTTTCTGATTGATCCAATAAACTCTGCATATTTTTAATAGCCTTTGACAAACTCCTTTTTTTAGAGGCTTGTAAACACAATTACTATAATACCCTTGGGGCACACACTCTTTTCATAGATAGCTAGTGAGCTTACAAACATGAAACAGCAGAAAAATTCTAAAATTTTCAAATTGGAAGTATTTTCAAAGTAGGATTCCTCAAAGATCAAGCATCTACTATTTGCTTATAAATTATTTGGAGTTGGGGTAAACAGGAAAATGATGAAATAGTACAAAGAGGTAAATTACCAAAGGGATTGGAGAAAGATCTCTTGAGTCTGAGTGAAAGGGCTTCAGTATAGTAAATACAGTTAGATGTAAGCAAACACACTATGATGTACAGTGTTCCCAAAGCCTAAATCTCCTAAAGTGTACTATTTTACTAAGTGTACTAAAGAGCCCAAAAAATTGCAAACCCTCTCCCCCCCCGCAAAAAAATGTTTAGCAATCAAAATGATTAGATAGGTAAACTGAGCAGTTTGTCCACAATGAAAGATTATAGTATCTTGGACATACTAGATTCAACTGACAATGGTTAAACAGGACATGATAGAGGTATACTCCTAATATACATTTGCATATACTATATATGTAAGTAGCCCTCACTTACCAACCACAATTGGGACCGTTGACTCTGTTGCTAAGAGCCACAGTTGCTAAATGAAAAATCAGATGACTGTGCTGGACTTACAACTGCATTTCAGCCTCTATCATTAAGCAAATCACCACAATCATTAAGCAAGATACCATGTGATATGACTTGCAATTTCACTTCCATGTTCTCCATTAATTCTGTTTGTTGGAAGTCAGTTGTGAAACTCCTAACTGTGGGATGCTACAATGGCCATAAATGCAAAGATTGATCCCAAAGCTTTTTTTTTTTCAACTGTCATAACTGAATGGTTGCCATCCAAGGCAGTTGGTAAGTGAGAAGTCCCTGAACCAAGTAGCTATGCCTTTGTACCACATTGTTTACATGCATTATTGAATATTATATATTTATCCAAGTTTTGCATAGCTTTAAAATTACATTTTTAAATTTTTTAAATTTTAAATTAAGATAAAAGGTAAAAGTTTGAAATAAAGATACAGACTTGAACATTGCAGAAAAGCTTATGGGTATACCACTTGTTTAGTCTTTATGTAAGCAAGAAGATAATGATAGATATAATTTTTCTTTGTGTAACTACTATTTTGTAGAGGAGATGAGTACATACAAATTAAATAAACAAATAAATAAGTAAATAACCCATAGTTAAAATGTGGAATTTGCTGCTAACAAATATGGCAATGCCCATCAGCTTAGATACTTTTAAAAAGAAACTAAAGACATTAATAGAAGATAATGCATTCAGGTGTCTTTTTTGATAGCCTTTACTATCTTCAGAGTTATGGACAGAATACCATAAATGCCAATTGAATGGATCTTTTAGCTCTTGTTTGATGCAGCATGATCTTATGTAATTTCCATAGTCACCATCAACATCTGACTGGCAGCTGAAATCCAATATAATGGATTACAATAGATTTAGGAAGGCTAAACTGTGACTCTCTTCAGAATGTAATGTCATGAAATTGGTACTGTTTAACTGTCCATTTTGTATTTTTTTAATTTGCCTTTGCTATTGATGAACTGCATAACTAATTAAATCAATCATATTTACAATGGTAAGCATACCTTGACTGGATATTTCTATCAGAATGCTGTGCTTTATAAATTTTATGGAATCATGGTGACAACATCTTTACCTAATCTAGAAGAGTTATAGCTGTGAAAGCTGAATCATCAGAAAGGCCAAACAAAGAAAAATCAATGTCTATGAATTGTGGTACTGGAAAAAAGGGTGAAGAGTATCTCAGACTGCAAGAAGAATAATCATTCAATACTAAATGAAGTAAATCCAGAATGTTCCCTGAGAGTACAAACTATGAATTTAAAACTTAAATAATTTAGATACATAGTGGATAGGCAAGAGTCTTCAGGGGGAAAAAAAGGCAAACAGAAGACCAGATCGTTAGATAATGTTAGTGATGACACAAGCATCACACTAAGACCTCTAAGAAGCAGTTACAAACAGTCCTGGAGAGATGTTGTTCACCAGGTCATGAAAAGTAACTCAGCAACAAGAACAATGCCAGTGTTGTTGAAAATAGTAATTAATATAGCCACAAGAAAGTATTCAGAGATGTGAAGTTGCTATAATTTACATTATAATTATGCAGTGGAAATTGTATAATGTTTGTTTGTGTATTTGAAAAAAATTACATGGCTGACTAAAATATGTGTTGCTGTGGAAAAAATAGGCAGGAGTATTGGGTGTGTTTGCCACCTTGAGTTTTTATACATACATACGTATGTATATACTTACATATAAAAGACACACATATACATACACACAGAGATGCCTACACACACAAACAAAGTAAACATTATAAAATAATGTTGTTTCACTGAAACTAAGGAGAGAGGAAAACAACCCTCCTAATATTTAAAACTGTATTTCTAATGAGAAGGCTAGACTTGTTTACTGTTACTATGATTTCTGAAATCTGAGTTTTATTTTAAAAATATGAAACTCTATCATGAAACTTAAGGAAAAAAGTGTTTTCTTGAATTAAAGATGCTTCTCTTTGAAAATGCTCTATTGAAATCCATTTTTCCTTCTTCCTCTGGTACTTGGTGCATATAAATTCTGCATCTTCCTTCTCACTGCAATCTATTCATCTCTCTTCCCTTCCATTGTGTTATGTCTTCTGTGGAGTGAGTGCTAAATCAGATGGTCAGAATTCTGCAAAGGAGCCTTATGTCCTCCAATCTTATTTACTTTTCCTCTGAAAGCCACACATAGTACAATAAGTGAATAAATAAGTACTGTGTGTAATTAAATAAATACAAACTTCATATAAATCTTTGGAGTCATTATATTGTTTGATTTCAGCAGATTTTTGCATCTAATTAGTCAATGTACCGTAGAAAAGCAGGAGAGTTAGGTGTAAGTGTGTGTGTGTATGTGAGAGAGAGAGAGACAGAGAGACAGAGAGAGATTATAAATAAGCAGTATATTTATTTGTTGCCAAACTTTAACCCCAATACAATTATAAGTTTATTTTTTGAATGGGCTGTATACATTCATTTGATCATTTTATGGAATTACAATATCACAGTTTTTGAGAATCGTAAAGCCTATTGCTAGAAAAGTAATTTGGCTGTGTATATCAATCTTCCCAAAGACAGCATGGTATAGTGGTTAGGGTGCTGGCCTAAGAATGGGGAGACCCAGGTTCTAATCCTCCATTAGTACAAAAGCCAGTTGGGTTATTCCCTTTCATCCTTCTTCAAGGTCAGACCTCTTCACATAATGCAGTGAAACTTTGCTGTAAAAACTAGGGGAGTGCAGCACAAACCCAGGTGAGTCTGCAACCATGCAAGATAAATGCTAAGAAAACAACACTCCAAAATGGTTTGAATTCTGAAGCCTCAGACTCCTGCAGCTTCTTTATTTTCAATTACTTTGTGTATTCTGTGGTCCTACCAGTTCTTGCTTGTCGGCAAATGGTATTTCTTACAGGCATTTCAATGTACCGTTGTTGCTACTTTGTCCTACAATTGTGCATATTCATGCGATTCTGCAGCAGCAGTTAACTAGACAGTCCACTGTTTTTGCTTTGTATTTGTTTTTATTATGGTTCATATACTTAATATCATTATATACACATATATTATACAGTATGTTCCTTGAAGTCGGAAGGGTGTCTCAGAAACTTGCTTCTGGGCAGTACATGTGTGTATGAATGACAAAAACTTGGCTTCCCTTTACTGAAGTATATTTGAGCTGAATTATATATGCAAGATTACCAGTCTGTAATCTGACTATGAAAAAAAACTTTATTTTTCATCCCTAAGCATCCCTATTTTCCCCCCATAGAAACTGATTAGTTACAGCAATACTAAGTATCCTCCTCCTCTGCTTCTTCTGCAGCTTCAAAAACTCTTATAAACAGTCTGCTTCGGGATCCTTCTCAGATTCCAGATGGAGTTTTAGCCAATCAGGTCTATCAGGTATTTATCACAGTCATCCTTTTTTCAATGACAATGCTGTTCTCAGCCTAGCAGGAAAAGAATTTTTAAAACCTCATTTAATTGCTGACATCATTATTATCTTACATGGAGACCAACAATGCATAAATAGCAATGCAGTATTTGTGAAGAGAGCATTTTACTGTTTTATGTATTATTTTTGTAGACATACTATTTCTTACAGAATAAAAGAGATGCAAGTTTTGTTTTCCATTGTTCCTTGCAAAAAGCTTTCGTTTCAAAAGTTTTAATTTTGAAGAAAAAAAATATTTTTTACAATTAATTATAATAGATCTACACATGCCAATCCTTTTACTACTATTTTTATTTGTCTGCAGTGCATTGTGAATGACTATTGTTATGGACCGTTGGTCGACTGCATCAAACAGTATCCTTTCTCATAAAATTTTAGGTGCAGAGTTGATGAGCTTAGGCTGTGTCTAGCTGTAACCTGACATAAAGTTCTGCTTCGCAAAACACATATCATGTGCCTTTGTTTTACATTCAATCAGCCACAAGGGGATCACTGCAGACCGCGTCCCTTACATTGTTTAACTAATGTCAGATATGCCATATGAAAATTGTCAGTTCAATAGATATACATTTCCTTTGCTTAGATAAAATCCTCTTGCTGTTGGTCACGTGAAATACACAGTCTTGTATTAAATTATTTGTTGTCATAAGTTGCAAATTTTATAAGACATAATAGCTTCTTTGCATTTCCCACAGAAACTGTGATTTAAAATCTAAGAGCAAGAAAATTTGACTTACCACTGTTTTGTCACAATGAAAAAAAGATAATACATAAAAATTATCGTTAAGTGGAATTAAGTGTATTCATGGATGGGTAGACTACTTGTAATTCTGTTCAAATTAATTACATGGACAATCTTTCTCTTTCATCTCTCTCATACACTGAACAGTCTAGAAAATCTTAATGTTTAAAGAATGAAAATGTTCCTATATAACAGGGTTTAAAAGTTAATAGTTAAGCAAATTAGCACAAACCTTGTTACTTATTCTATGAGATAAATAAACAGAATACGTTGAAATCATCTACTTTGTATAGTGTTTACAATTATAAAAATGTGAGGGAATCTTAATCTAAAGACATTGTAGTTAAAATATACATAATTCATTGATTTTTGCTCAGAATGAATGTATTTTATGTATGTTTTTAAATCACCTTTATTTTTCATTTTAATGGGTTCTATTGATTATATAAATATATTAATTGAGAATAAAAGTTAATGTAATATTATTTTTCCAAAAACATACATATTGGTTTACTACAACACATATCATCATAATTTAGAACCACAATAAATTAAAGTTAAAATACAATTTATAACAACCTTTGCAAAACCTTGGTGAAATAAGCAGGTTTATTTTTGCCTGTTTGTTCTTATTTTTTTTAAGGAGCCTAATTTCTGTCTTCAATTAATGAATTATTTATTTATTGAATTGTTTGAAATATTTTTGATAGTTATTTTTTCTGTACCAACCTACAAAAATGCAAGTCACTGGGACATCTGCTCATCCAAATTGCTGCATAATATGCAGCTTTTGGCTCTTCCTAAGAGGTGGAAAAGACTAGTGCATGCTGCAGGACAACTATGCTGATTTTTTTTCATTGCTATCAGTGCTTTTTATGATTCTGTATTGTTTTCACTATCACATATATTGAACAGGCTAAGTAGCAATGTAATATCTGAAGCACCATCTAATATTTGTCTTTAGTAAACCTGTGCTTTATATTTAGTTCTGTATATTTTAATATTTTGTTAGATAATAAAATAGGAGCAAGTTTGAAGTCTGCCCACGTTTTGGGAGAAGTAACAAAGTTCAGACAGCTTCTAGGTTACAGACATAATTTGTCTTACTACTGTGCCTCCAAGAAAACAAATTATAGCACAATCTCTTATGCGCTAAAAGCTTCTCTGATTTTGTCTGTCTCAGTCGACAATGTATAGCAGTAAAATATTTAAACATTCAGTTCATGATGTCATGAAAGACATAGACCTATCAGCTAATCACAAAATAAATACATTTTGATAGATTTAGAACTCTAGTCACTGTATAAACCCCACCACATATTTCACATATACTGTACATATCGAGTTTCTGGGCAGAGTTTTTTTGGGGAATGAAAAATGATTCTGGTAAGCCTATCTTTGTTCCAAACCATAGTTAATAAAAGCAATAAGATGAGATCATAGTCTGCTAAATGTGTATCATAGAACATTGACATAGTAGTGTTTTTCCATTGTCATCTCTATCATACATAATTAGATATTGGCTATTAAATTGGGTCAAAGAAGTGGCCCTATGTAGCCTATAACCTAGAAGTAGCTTATGGATATGGTTACTGAGTACCGTACTTCTGCTAAACCATATTTACTATAAGGTATTGATTGCAATATATGCCATAGTTAATTTCAGATCAGATTTCGTTGAGCACTAAGGAAAAAATTAGAAATAATTAATGTAAGATTTTTAAAAAGTAGTTGACTGTAGGTTACTAAACATTTAATGATTTCTAACTGTTTATGAAAGATTATTTAAAAATATTTGTTGCTGAATTAGTTATTATTTTTAAGGCATACAAAGTAGTTTAAAACCAACTTAAAGTTAAGGTTTCTAAAGTGTAGCCCTACTAAGGATTGCATATTGATTTTAAATACAACTATCAAATTATATATGCATGGACTAAAGTATGAAGTCCACATCTTTGAATTACCAAGAGGCTGTTTTTCAGTAACAGTTTAGATATTTACAGGAAACAAGGCTGCTGGATTGAATGAGCCCAAAATGGCTTGTGAAGTTATTTACAAGTTTTGTTCCATGGTCATGGCCATACATCAATAACAAGTATTACCATAGACTAAATCTAAGTTTTTTTGTTCACACTGTATTATACACACTGTTTGTAGAATTTATTTTATATTTTTGCTATTATTCATTTTCCTTAGTTGATTCTGTCATTATAGCACACTTTGATGCACTACATCAATTTTTCATAGTGTCATATTTCTCATGACTTAAAAAGTTCAAGTTGTGATAGTTTCTACAAGACAAATGATAATAGCAACAACAATAATATGCAATTGTAGAAAAAGTATAAGTTCATAATTGAAAAAACTATTGTTAAAACCTGGAAAAATAATCAACAAAGAAAGATACATCCTCTTTCATCATTAATAGTAATATTTGCTACCTTTTATATCTTAATTATAATTTTAATGTCCTGCATGTATCTATTTTGTGGCATTATAAAAATCTCATGCAGATTGATTCATTGTGTTAACACACAATAAATAGCTAGAGAACAAGGGAGATCTCTTTTAAGGCAGTAAACATATTTAGAAGTTTGAGATCTTGCTAGGGGTACTATTTATAAACTGACTACCTTGTTGGATATGAATAGTCATATAATATCCATTTTACAAAACTCAAATTAAGCTCACTCTAGAGCAGGGGTGTCAAACTCACCACGTCACGTGACGTGTCACAATGTATCACAACTTTTTCCCCATTGGCAGAACTGGGGTGGGCGCGGTTTCAGCATGATGCATCCGGCCCACGGGGCTCGCAGTTTGATATCCTGCTCTAGAGGTATTACCAGATCTAGGCTGCAAAGACACAAACAACCAAAGTGTTAGCAAAGAGGTATATAACAAGAAAATAGTAGTTTAACCATATATTTGCAGCTCAGAGCTAGTGCCTCTTACTTCCCTACACAATTTCATCTTGTTTCAGGAAGCCACTATAACCACACTGTCTTTTTTTTCTGGACAATAACCATGTCAAGCAAAGCACTAGGTTCTAGCCTCCCATTGGTTGCTTTAAAAAGATTAGTAATGATAGCGGTTGACATCTTTCCTCATAGCAGGCTGGCTTTTCATGTTTTGGAAAAATATCAAACTACGTTAGAAAAAACAGAAATCATTTATGGAGGGTATCTCATAGGGACCATTTTGCCTAACAAAAACAAGATATGTATAGCATTAACTACCGTAAATGCCGGCGTATAAGGCGACTTCCACTAGCGCTGAAATCGGCACCAAAGACAGGGGTCATTTTATACGCCGAGTCGTCTTATACGCCGGAAATACTGGTAGTTTCCGGCGTATAAGAAGACGTTCTAGGAATGCGGCCCGGCTATAAAGACGGGGTCGTCTTATACGCCGGGTCGCCTTGTACGCCGGCATTTACGGTAAATACTCAAAGCAATATCTATTTATACGCATTACCCAGATTCCAAGAACAATGCATCAAATGTTTTACATCATCTCAAAAGTGAGATTCATGCCATCACTACTAGATTTACTTTTCTCAGAATTCATTAAATTATGCAAGAAATCCAACAAGTATAGTTAACAACTGTCTTCAAAATTCTTGAAATTTTCTAGTTTTTTTTCCCCCAGAAAAAAATTTTATCCTCTGGATTTACAGAAAGCTTTTTAAAGCATTAATGCAAGATATCTTGAAATTAGTTCTGCCAAATAAAAGAAACACCAAGGCAATTATGATGAAACGATTGCAAACAAGTGGGAATTATTATCTTCGAATTCTGAAAAAGATTATTTGTCGTGTTTCATTTCTAACAGTTTAAAAAAGTTTATCTTGTTTACATCTTATCCTATTCTTCTTCAAGACACTTTATGAAATGTCTTGTTTACTCTTCTACCAATTCCTTGAGGAAAAGTTGAATTTAAAAATGAGTGTGAAACAAAGATACCATATTATTTTTGGATTTTTTAAAAATTCATCTGGCATTAACTAATTGTATAATATTGACCAGAGATATCTCACTGCTCCATAGTAATTATAGAGACTCACCAGTCTGGCTAAATATGTATAGGAGAAGATTATCTCATAATAGGCCTTAACAGTCTGATTCCATCCCTTCCTCCAATATCTTTAATTTTCTTGTTTGTAGCTTGACAGTTGGTTATTAAAATGCAAAGTTAATTGTTCTGTTTTAGCCAGCACTCAATTCTAGATCACTATAGTCAAACACAAAGAGCTATGCCATTTAAAATCAAGTTTTATATCAAATTGGGGAACATGTTTCTTTAATGGAAAATTATCAGTGCAATTGGATATGAACATGAAGTCTTACTGCAAGAAATGCTTCTGGAGAGAAATATATCATTTTTAGGTAAGCTTTTATATTATAATCTAATACCTAAATGTTGGAAATCTCAGTAATTATTTCCCAAAAAGTCTCTACAGATATCCTGTATATTTAATAGTAAAGAGACACTAAGAAATGATTGATACAGTGCATGTTATCTTTTATCGATTTAGACCTGGCAGGAACTCTGTTATCTAATACCTTATACTGCATGTGCACAAGCAAGTAATTAATATTTTATAGAATAAGTAGCTGGGAAAATGCTTTAATATCAGTTGTTGTATTACTTTTGGTGTCATGAGATATTAGCCATAGTCTAGGTCTTAGGAGACCTAGAAGGAAGTATAAGAAATATTAGCTTTATAATGCTTCATGTATTAAATCTCTACGTGAGGGATTCACTAGTTTCTTTAGAAGTTTGTTTTCTTTTTATAGAGTATATTAAGCCTTCCTGCATTGTATTCTTAGTCAGAATTATATTAAATGATAACATATGTATTACAGTATTACAGTTAACACTTCCATGCATTGGTTATTATTACTTAAAGGACCATTTGTCTTAAAGCATGATATGTTTCTCATTCTTCAGAACTGATATGTGGAATGATGGCATCTCAGTATGAAAAAGTCTACTTTAATCATGAAGGCTTTGAAGCAAATGTTTAAATACAACCAAAACCCAAATAATAGAAAAACTATTTTAAAGCAAAAATACATAATTACAGCAGCTGTGATCAACTCTGTTTCTGTAATAATAACACTAAGAATATTAGGATTAAATGAGAATAACTATGAGATACTAATAGCAGGAGTGAAACAAAGAGCAACAGCACATCTCTGCATGATCACCTTATAACAATTACTTTTTATTATTTGTGCAGGAGACATCTATTCCTTAGCGATATTCTTATGATTTTCTAATGAAGACAGAAACCAAGTTTGATTTAAATAAATTTGTTTAGTCAAATTGTTAAGGATAACTTAAACATATGATATTGTTAGATAAATTCTACAGCAAAATATACACTCCTGTAAAAAAAACAAACATATTCATTCTGAATTCATGAAATTAATGTTATAGGTTTACTAATCACTTGCATTCAGAAATATATCCTTTTATTTACTTTATTTTTTACTACAAAGAATGCAAGAAGATATTTTATGTTGAAGTACAATAAAGAAAAGGATTAAGCCAGTTGGGTCATTCCATCTACACCTTAAGCATTTAGGGAAATACAAGGCTCTAATTAGTTTATCCATGGTGAAATAATGGAAATTAGTAAACAGTTTAAATAAGATCAATTCTTCCTCACAAACCACTGCATGAAAGAGATAAACATATTTTAAGCCACTGGAAGTTTCAGCTAGAGAACTATTAGCTAATGCAACAACCTTTTGAAATTGGTTCCAATAATATATCAAATACATTTTTTAAAATACTGTTCTGATTTCCTTGTACTCCATAATAACTTGTGTCTAAGTAGACAGAGGAACAGGCAGATAAAAACTGCCCAGACTCTTTCTCTTTTATGTCTTTAGTGATCGGTAAAAAGATAAGAAATATTTTTGGCCATTGTTCCTATCAAGTAATACTGACAGGAATCTTACCAAATTGAGGAAGAGCCTCAGAAGATGGATGTAGATTCATTGATAAGATGCCCTATGCTGACTTCCAGTTCGGCATCGCAGCGTGACGGGTCCAGGAAGACAGGGCTCCATCTTCCATGTTCGATTTTGTCTCGCTGGGGACCCTAAAAAGGGTCAAAAGTCGCTCCAGAGAGGTGACAAAGAAGGACGGGACCCTCGTCGATCACTGAGGGGCAACAGCCCTTCCGCTAGATCTGAGGAAACCCTCCAAACTGTCAGAGGCTGCTGACAACCGAAGATAAGCACTAACTAGCAATTTTTGAGAACGTGGATGGAACTGGGTGAGACTTTATAGGTAGGGGTATAACATAGGGTAAAGAGCAAGGATTAAACCAAAGGTAGGGATAGGTGCAATAGTGGGGTTACCCCCAACAATAAATAGACGCTTTAGCAAGCAGACTACCATCCGGGTGTACATGTTAAATGTCCGTAGTTAATATAATACTAAACAGCTATGTTAAATAGATTTATCACTAATAATAAGAATGAGAAGTTAACCAAACATATTCATTCTAAAATAACAATAATTAATGTACTATTAATAATATATTACTAATTGAATATAATTACTTATAAGTACTGATATATTGCTTATTAATTATAATTACCTATAGGTAAAATCGGAAATATAAGAGTATTCATAGCAATCAGATAACATAAAAGTTGAATAAAAAGTATCATTTATCCTATTTAACTTCATAATCTTTTCATTCTGTCGTATTGCTAACCACTGATATAATTTTTTCCATGTTTTAAAATAAATTGTGCTTTCTCTTTGATTTCTAAAGTTAGTCTATCCATTTCTGCACATTCCAATATTTTTGTAATAATAATCTGGTCAGGTGGTAGCTTTTCATTTTTCCAAAATTGGGCAAATACTATTCTTGCATCTGTTAATAGGTGTAGTATTAGGTATTCATTCTCTTTTTCGTAATTAAATCCTAGTATTCCTAGTAGAAACAGTTCAGGTTTAAATTCTATCTTCATTTTAATCATCTTTTCTAACCATATATGAATCTTAAACCAATATTTCTTTGCATTAGGGCATATCCACCAGACATGATAATAATCCCTGGTTTTTGTTTACATTTCCAACAAATGTTTGATACATTTTTAAATATTTTCTCTAATCCAACTGGTGTCATATGCCATCTATAAAACATTTTATATAAATTCTCCTTATATGCAGCTGCTTTAGTAAGTTTGATATTTCGATCCCAAAATTTTTGCCAATCTTTTAAATCTATGGAATATCCAAAATTCTTTGCCCATACTATCATTGTTTATTTTACTTGTTCTTCTTCCATCTTCCAGTTTAACAAGAATTTGTAAAGTTTTTTAATCAAGTTTTTGTCTGTTTTTAGCAGTATTTTATCTAATGGTGTCTGTTCTTTGTAAAATTGCGTAGATTTTGCGTCTTTTTCATATCTTGTCTGAATTTGCAAATAAGACCACCATGTTAAGTCAATACCATGTTGCTGAAGAACTTGTCTGTCTTTAAGTTTTCCATCTTTGTACAAAATATCTTTATAAATAACAAGTTTGTCATAATTAATTAAATTTGGATAGGCAAAAGCTTCCATTGTCAAAAGCCACTCAGGTATTTTCATGTAAATTTTATGTTTAATTCTTTCCCACTCTGAAAGCAATACATTCCTTATGGCATGATTTTGAAAATATTTATGTACTTTATTGTTCTCATACCACAAAAACGCATGCCAATCCAATTGCAAATCATGTCCCTCTAGATAAAGAAGTCATTTATTTCTCAGTGTGATCCATTCTTTAAGCCAGAGCAAAATGGCTGCCTGGTAATAAAGTCTCCAGTCCGGGAGCCCAAAGCCTCCTCTGTCTTTGGAATCTTGTAATAATTTAATTTTAATTCTTGCCTTTTTTCCTTTCCATATAAATCTTATTATTGTAGCATTTAATTCATCAAAATATTTCTGACTCAGTTTAACAGGGACCGTTTGAAATAGAAAGATTAGCTTAGGTAAGATGTTCATCTTAATGATCACTATCCTTCCTAGCAATGATAATTGAAGATTTTTCCATTCTCCAAGTCCGCTTTTATTTGTTTTAGTAATCTCTCATAGTTATCCTCTTTTACTGTTGTTTATTTTGATGTTAAATGGATACCTAAATATTTAACTTTTTTAGCTATTTGAAGATTTGTCTTTTTAGCAAGTTGGATTTTTTGTTTGTCTGTTAAGTTTTTTGTTAATATTTTAGTCTTTTGCCTATTTATTTTTAACCCTGCTACTTCTCTAAATTTCTCTATTTTCTGCAAAAGTTTAATGGCTATTTCCAGTGGCTCCTCCAAAATAAAAACCAAGTCATCTGCAAAGGCCTGTAATTTATATTTCTGGTCTTTTATCTCCAATCCTTTGATCTCCATGTCTTGCCTAATATTCCTATGTCCTTAATACTACTCTCCTGGAAAATAGAATACCCAAATCAAAGAATCCTCCCCAATGAGAGAGGAAGGGAAGTTTTTGTCCCACTCCCTCAGGAAAAGAAAAGCGGCAAATTAATTTCTTTGGGGGAAAATAGAGAAAACTACAAGATCAATTTGGAATTAATACAGATATATAGCTTTGAAATTTGGAGACTAAAAGTACCTTTGAGACATTTTTTTTAAGAAAAGATATTTGAAAGTTTGTAAAATAGACTTGGATTTGAAAAGCTGGAAGATGGTGTCAATGACATCTAGTGGCGAATCACAGCATTACAATTTATTATGCTTAAAGAAACTTGGCTTGAAGCTCAGAGTCTTTGTTGTTCCTGGAAACTTTCACTTTTGCAGACTGCAGCTAGGAAAAGGGAGAAAAAAAAAACTCTTGGGCTGCTTATCTGTTTTGGGGACCCTATTGGACTATAAAGACTACATACAAAAACAAAATGGGTGTTTCACACTTAGCCTTAAATGATAAAAAACCATATTTAACACTTGTCTCCGAAGCCCCCAGTGTGATATACCAACAAGAAAATGTTAATGAATCTCAGAAAGAAATTCTATGTTGAAATCAATCCAAGTCTCATTTGTTTTATTTCATGATGCAAATGAGATAAAAGAATAATTTTCTAACCTAAACTTACAAATCCAGACAATGACCACAAAGAAGAAACTAGTAACCCAGAAAATTAGAAAAAGGGTATCTAAAGATGGAGGACCTAAAGAAAGGAATTAACAGACAGATATAGACAAATGAAAAATTAGAAGATGCAGTGATAACACCAGAAATGGAAAAGATATCTTACTTGTCAAGATCTCAGAACACATTTGAGGATAAGGAAGAAGAGCTGATTGAATGGATGATAAAGCTATTAGGAGAAGTGCTGAATATTGACAAACAAGAAATGAAAAGAAAAACTGAAGACGGATAGAGGCTGTTTAATGAATATATTGTAAATGGGTTGAGCATTCTTCCAAAAATACTTCAATCAAATTCTCTTCCTCATTCCAAACAATATATACAAAAACAGAGGAAGAATTACTTGATGATTCAAATGCACTGATTTGGAAAGTTACTTGGCAAAGGAAGAAAGCTAGAGTAAGACTGAGGAAAATAAAGGTTTTGACCTATTAGATAGGATATTATACTATAAACAGATGTTTGAATATGCTTAAGAAAATAGATAACTGTTAGAAATAAAAGTATTATTATAATTAGAAGGATAGGATTTATAACTAGAATATTATACTTTGTTATGAGATGGGAAATATGAAAATTCTAAAAGGGTTTGAATAAGGGAGGCTTTTGGTTACCCAAATATAATTTATTATGAAAAATTATAAGCGATAGAGATATTTTGAACATTGATGGGAAATTATTTTTTTTAAAAAAAGCAGGAAAAACAGGATATTGAACAAATCAAGTGCAAATGCAATTGAGATATGTTCTGGCTGGAAAATATATTATAAACTGACACTATTGATATTATGTATAATACCAGAAAAATGTGATGAAGATATCTATATTTAATTGTATATGTATTAACAGTAACAAGAGTTGTATTTGCCCAGTGTGGAAAAATGCATGCCACTGGAAAAAGAGAGGATCAATGAAGCACTGGATGGTGTAGTATTGGAACTAGACTGAGAAAACTAATATATACCAGTGAATTACCAATGGACCCAGACAACATGTTTATTAAGTATTCATGATTGTAAAATTAGAAAATTAATAAAATATATATTAAAAAAAGAAATGTAAAAAACTGACAACAGAAGAAGAAGGGGAAAAAAAGATGCCCTATGCTACAAATCTTTCCATTCACAGCAACCCCTTGATTTATGCCTATTGAGTAGGAGATGTGGGGAGTAGAGAGAGAGATTGTGAGGGAATATACAATTTTGGGAAGTCAGCCTCTTAAAATTTCCTTCTATCTGTGCAGCACTTGAAGTCATTCCATGAACTCTGGGATAATTATGTTGTATAATAATTTTTGAGTGAATACTGAAATACTAATTTCTAGTGAAAATCTAAATTGTGATAAAGGTACAGTATGTCATGTCTTCATTGCAGAAGCACTAAAGGTTTCTTAAAAGTATTTGCAGGAGTTTCAATCAAGTAAAATATTTCTTTATTTTGAACATTTTTGAGTAACAAAGTACAATATGACAGGTTGAATTAATGATGTCTATAATGAAGGCATAAAAATGCAGAGATGGCAAAGAAGTGTTTTTAGATTCATGTTTCAGGTTTACCAAGAAGGTTCATTTAAACTGACACAGCATTGCATGCATTAGAAGGATATGTATGAGTGCATTAGTAATTCTTGTACCTTTGTTCAAAAGCGAATTAATTGTTCTTCTATCAGCTAATAGAATAATACTATTGTTTATATCATCTACTGTATTCTCTCTATAGCTGAGGATCAGTTACGGGCAAAGGGTTATGACAAAACACCAGACTTCATTTTAGAAGTGCCAATTGGTAAGTCCATAATGTTTTTTTGTTTTTCTAATTGAATTGTTTATATTAAATGCTAGCAATCTTATTAGAATTATTCCAGGTATGTTTTAATCATAACCTTGAATATATGCACAGTAGTGAACCAGTTCCATTAAGAATTTATAATGGGAAGTGATCTGTTTGAATGCAGTTGGTTGTACATAATAAACTAGATCCTTATTCATGAACAAACTGATTACAGATGTTGTCTTTAAAATTTCTAGAGTTCTTCGTTGGATAAGAAACATATTTTAAGATTTTACTGTTGAGATAGTCTTTAGCCAAATTTTTGGATTTCCTGCAGAAATAATGTCCAAATATAGTAATATACAATATATTCATTATTTTTATCTATTAATATATTTTACATAGCTTCCATGTCACAGAAAACTACTCTGAGTGGTGTAGAACAATCCAGTAAAACAGTAAAAATATAAAACAGTTATTATCCAAATCATTATATAATACTTATTTAAAATTTCACATTTATCACCGTGGTGCTAATGATAGACTTCATAACAGAAGCCAAAAAAGCTCCCTTAACTGCTGGTTAGATCAAAGACATTCAGTTGTATTCCACTTACCAAAAATTCCCATATTTCTCTGTGGTGATTTGCTGGACCAGACTCTTACATACAGAAGAGAATTCCAAAGCTAATAGAAATGTATGCAGGTACTGACAATCTATAGCTACCAAATCTACAAGAGTAATCCTAGGCAGTGTACAAATAGTAAGAAAACAGAAAAATAATAAAAGTTTCTGTTGCTAAGTCTCCATAATATAACACAAGTTTGAGGTTGAAAAATCATTCCTCCTCTAATCAAAAAGACTACAGTATAACTAAACACAGGGCTCATTTAAGCTAGCCCAAATGCCTGCGGATACATCCAAGTCCAATAGTGTCAAAACTGTTCAAACCTCTGAAGGGATGTTATTCCACCGGGCAGAGGCTGCAGACAGAGAAGGAATGACTGACTCCTGGATCCCATAAGATGATACGTTAGGTGGGATCAGAGCATGCCAACCCAGCTGATTTTGATGGGCAAACAGAAACAATGGAAGACAAGTGATCTTACAAATAACCTGGCCTTGAGCCACATAGGGTTTTGCAGATGATAAATTGAACCTAAGAGCCAGCATGGCTTGCTGAAGAGAGGTGCTACATGGAGGTCTTGAAAAATGCCCAAAGCTGTCCAGTCAAGTTTTTGGGGAGAAGTCTCTTCTAAAGGCAATACGCTAAATTAGTCCAGCTCAGCTTTCTTGCAGGATCTTATTTTCTGCTTGCTTATTTATTACATACATAGAGACAGACAGACAGACAGACATGTATAGATAGATATGTATAGATAGATATGTATAGATAAATATGTATAGATGGATATATAGATTCCTTTAAGAATCTGAGGCCAATGTTTATAGCTTTCCCGCATTAGTTTTTTCTTCAAAAGAATCTTGTCAGTGAGAGTTTAAATCTAGGACTCCCTGGCCATATATTAACACAGTAAACACTACATTATTGTTCCAGTATGATTTGCTATGAAATGTATATCATCTTCCAGAATCTTCTCTGCAATTTCTATGTTGTCATCTGAGATTTGAAATACAGTTTCTAACATGAGGATAGTCTTGCAATGAGGAAAACAGTTACAGAATGAATAAATAAATGCTTAAATAGTTATAAATTAATCAGTGTGATGAAGCAATCATAAAAACAAGTAATAAATGATGTAGTCATTCTCTGTAGAAAAGGAGCAGTTACAGAATACAGCTTCATTACCTAAACTCTAATCACCTTGGCTTTCCACCAAAACAGACTGTACACTTTTTTCTTAGTATAAAGAGTGATTCTATGCAACTGCAGCTATCTTATCCTATCCCAGCCCAGCTATGTAAGAGATTGTCAAGCCAGCTGCAGAGACTATCAGCACACATAAGGCTGTTGCAGCTTACAGACCTTGGGCTTCCTTCATACCCAGCCAATCAACCATCCATGCAGGACTTGGCCTGCTCCTCAGCCAGCTCCAGGACCCAGCAGCTTCTGAGAGAGGTGCCCAACCAAAGTGACGGTCAGCTTTCCTACAGAGGCAGCATCATGTTATTCTGCAAGCATGTGCTATTGTCCCGATCTTGTAGGGGGACTCTTTTAAAACCTTTTACCAAAAGTCAGTAGGGTTAAGGCAAATATAATTTCTAGCAGTGGAATGTTACTCTAGAAAGGTGCTACATTCAGAAAGGCTCTGGGGACCCACCAGATTATACTCTTTAACAGACAGGAACCAGAACATCAATCTTTTAATTAATTTCTCAGGATGGGTATATAAAAACAGATAAAGTTCCACAAGTAACCCAGATCCATGTTATGAAGGTCATTACCAGCACACTGAATTGAATCAGTAAGCTTGCTGACTACCAATGCAGCTCATGAAGCAGAAGTATCATATGGGCAAAGAAGGGCACTCATCATGCCTATGCATGTACATCACATAGTAATAGTTCAATCAGGATGTGATTAGAGCATGAGTGACTGTGATCAGAACTTCCCAATACAAGAACAAGTATGATTAGTGTACAACATGAACTGTGCAAAGGCCCTCCTATCCATGGCTGTTAACTTGATCAAGAGTCCCAAATATAGATTTCACACAGCCTCTATCTAGGACAGGGGTAGGCAACCTTGGCTCTTTTATGACTCGCGGACTTCAACTCCCAGAATTCCTGAGCCAGCTGGCTCAGAAATTCTGGAAGCTGAAGTCTGCAAGTCATAAAAGAGCCAAGGTTGCCTACCCCTGATCTAGGATAATGCCACCCCATGCCACATGCTAGACAGCTGTGCTATCTCTTGTCTCAGCCCTGCTTGGAATGTTCTCCCTTGTTCTGGGAACTGCTTTTTCATTGTAGTCCATTACACCACCTCTCCCTTCATAGGCACCATCTGTCACAAGAAATGCATCATCCTGCTCCCACCAGAGGTCTTTTAGAAGTGCTATCAATACCATCTTGAGCCCTTATCTGGGTCTGAATCCTGACTGAAAAGGCACCAGATAATTAACTTCTTCCAAATTGATGAAGTTCTGTTTGAAAGTGAGAGAACATGCAATCAAGAGGTGCTCCTTGTGATTGGAGATTAAAATGTCAAAATTGTAGTTGGACTGTATGGCTTAAGAAACCAAACTGAAACAGGAGAACAACTTATCAATTTCTTCATAGCTAACACTCAAAAAACCCCAAAATGACCCTTCTATACATGGACATCACCAGATGCAGTAACTATAAATTGAAAGAAGGTGAAGAACTCATTTACAACATCAGAAATGTGGCCAGGTGCTGAAGAAGCAAGATAGAAAAAGAATTGAATTTTTTTAACTGTGACATTGGAGAAGACTCCTGAAAACATTATTATGGATACTAATAGTAATAAAAAAATGATAAACAATTAACCTAGAGTTCACCCTAGAGACCCAAATGACCATGCTCACATTATGATACTTCAAATACATTATGTGAAGGCATAGCTCTCTGGAGAAGTCTCTAATGCTGAGAAAGGTGGAAAAAAAGGGAAGAGAAATACCAATAGAAAGGTAGATGGAATCAGTTACATGGCAATGGGTATACCCAGACCTAAAATAACAGATCATCATGTAAGAAATCTATGTACGTGGTCACCAAGAGTCAACATCAACTTGATAGCATATAATCAGTCAAAACTATCAATGCCCTATCTAATGCAAATAGTTCAGCAATGTGAAAACAAATGCTGAGTGAGATCTTTTCTTCTTCCACATATTTAAATTAATTAAGATCCTACTAAGGACAGTACTTCTGTAGGAAAGTATTCTTCTGTCATTATTTTTTGTCATTGTAATACAACTTCAAACATAATGAAGTGGACATTTGTTTGTTTATTCATACGTTTTCTCACATATTTAGTTTATCTATAAATAAATACATACTCTTGAAGGTTAAATATGCGTAACATAGATGTATGTCTATGTTAAAGAGCTAGACCATGGGTGTTCAATCTTTTGGCTTGCCTAGACTACATTGAGTGAAGAGGAATTGTCTTGGGCTACATATTCAATTTAATGTTAAAGTTTATGATCTTTAATTATCAGCTGGCCAGGGTTACCTATGGCCCATTATCAGCTGGCCAGGGTTACCTGTGGCCCATGGGCCACAGGTTGGACGTGCCTAATCTAGGCTGTCCATTTCAGTAAGTTTTAATGAACAATTTTATCTGAGCAATTTTATTTTTATCTTAATTTTCTGTGATTTTAAGAATTGTTTAAAAATCTCAAATTGCCATACGTATTTTTTTTTCTTTTTAGCTGTAGAAGGTCATATCATTCATTGGATTGAAAGCAAAGCCTCTTTTGGTGACGAATGCAGCCATAAAGCATACTTAAATGACCAGTTCTGGAGCTACTGGAACAGGTATAGCTTCATTTTTTTGGGCTATAGACAATATAACTTTGGTATTGTTGTCAATATTAGTACATTATGCTTGTTTATTTCATCTTGCCAGACAAAAGAAAAGCAGGATATATATTTTGAAAAGAACTGAAATTATTGACTTTGCTATAATTACTATATTCTGGTTAGCACTACATTATAGAGCCAATAAATATATGGTGCGGCATAACCCATTTTTGAAAACATAAAAGGAATTAGCAAATTCCTAAATATAAGCATACAGTTGGGCCATGAAGGGTTGTTGGTTTTTTGTGTAATATTGAGTAAGGCTATTGGTCCCTCTAGCATAGCACCATCTAATGTGACTAGCGCCAGATCTTCAATTTCTCCATTACTGACTCGATCCTAGTGCTGAAATTTGAGATCCTGACAGGTTAGGAATAGAGAAACTACAGATTGAACATGGAATATATGCATCTACCTGGATGCTTTAAACTTTTGATGTGTTATTCAGGTTTAATATTTTTGCTTCTTATTTTATATATGTACAAGAGGAATGTGCAACACATCAAATTTTGAACAGGTCATGGGCATGAACTTTGCATCTATTAATTCCTCCTTAAGGAGCTCTGTCTTTGCTAGAACTCAGGTGGTTACACCATTCAAGGAATATATATATATACATTTGCAGGAAGCACCAAGTGTTTGCGACACAGTGCTTTGGAATGGGTGTGGGAACATTGTTGGTATTTCTTTACCTCAGATACATAATTTCCTAGGATTCTACAATTATTATGTGAGGTGAAGAAAAGATTCAACTTCTTCAAAAATACACCAACAGCATACTTATCCATCTCAAACAGCTTTTGCTACAACTCCATAGAGTTGTACAGATCTAATACATAGTATCAGTGGTGCATGATAATGTAATTCATTGTAGTTAAATTCACTTACAAAATTGTCCTTTTTGATATTCTGTATTAATAAATGAATGCATTTATGTAATCAAACACTATGTAGCAACTATACTGTCATTAAAACCTTACAGTATATAAAGATGTATTCAGTTTGGATATATTTCCTGTCTATACATTAGGTTAGAGTGTCTTAGATTGTATATTTAGTGAGAAAAATAGTTTGCAACATTTTAAGAATGCACTAACAAAATCTCTTCATTGACATGGATATTAGATAATTTCTCATAGTGGAAGAATGTACTCTTTGACTATAAATAGCATCTACTGAATGTTTTTAATATTTTTGAATGCATACTTTAAAAAGAAAAAAGTATTTCATTACTCTAGTATTCTGAATTGTCAGAATGTGTTTATTTATCCACTTGATTTTTTTTTTATAAAAAGATCTCCTGGAGTATGATCCTAAGTACTCCAGGAGATCTTTTTATAAAAAAAGTTGTAAAGTGTAATTACAACTCACTAAAGTTAGAATACTTTGTGTACTCTTTTAAGTAATGGTGGATTGTTATATATTTATACAATTGCAGTTTTCAGTGCTGCCTTGCAAATTAACTTTATATTTTGCTGTGTAGTAAGTACTATTACGACTGGAGCTGGATTTCATCTCATAAAAATACTATCTGCATAAGAATAAACATAAAATCTTATCTTCAGTATTGAAGATGAAATTCCTATGCATCATTATTTCAGAGACATAAGTGCAAATTGATGAGTTAACCTAGTGAATACCTGAGTAATAATGTTATCAGTTGATTTATTAAGTGAAGGTTAGACATCCTTTTTTATCACAGTGGCTACAATTAACAGTTTGGGATTTTAAAATATTGACTTAATAGAAACAATGGGAGTTATATTTGTCAAATATCTAGGAAAACTATTCATGCATACCCAGTATCCAAAAGCTTCATTGGCCGCCAAAACACAAAGATCTGAAAGGTCATTCTTTTTCCCACAATATGACGGCTTGTTGACATATTTTGACATGCTGGCATTATACTAAAACATTTTGACTTCTCTCCAACACTTAGGAGTTGAGGACTGGTTAAGCTATCCACTGCTCAAACCCTTTTAAGGGTTTTAGTTTTAAGATTAGTAGCTTTAGAAATTGGGCTGAGAGGAATTTAGGATTTGTGTATTAGATCATGCAATCATTGGGCTGGAGGAAAAAATCTTGAATCTCCCCAATAGAAAATGAATTGCAGCATTCCCAAAGAAAGTTTATAATCCAAAACACTTATAGTGGAGGTTCTCTGTTAGTATTATAGTTTTCTTAAACATTTGATTTAATGGATAATGCATGAAATATGTTGCACAGTTGTGTGTTTGTAGTCCAAATTATTTGGGGCAGACTGTTCTTTGGAACATGTACACTGGCAAATTATTTCTTTTTTATATTTCTAAAATAGTGTTTATTGTTTCCCATAAAAATAATTAATCTGAAATTATATTTGTAGTCTTCAAAACCAAATAGCACCATTTGCTTCAGCTATAATGATAATACAATATTAAATCAACAAAATGTGTAATTAAGATTACATTGGTCAAAGAATATCATTTTCAGGGTTTTTTTTCCAGTTTTTAGTTACTGAGCATTTTATTGGCATGCCTGATTCATGAGAATCATTTATAAGTTGTTTTATTTTCCTTTTTTAAAAAAAATAGAATATAATTTCTTACATTGCTTAAATTATTTACCTTTATTTTCTGTTCCTTTAATTTTGTCACATCATTGGTAGTTATCCTTTAATATTGACAGAACACTTTAGAATCCATGTATGTTAGTGCAAGACATCACTTTCAATTTCCTTAGTATTTCTCATTCAGATTAGACAAGCATCTAGGATTATGTACGATAAAAGCTTACAGCATAGAACTTGCTATGCTTACCAAAGGCCTGGTCACAGGCAATCCACTGTGTCAAAGAAGGTCAACCTCTACAAAATTTAACTTTCTTGTCATTTTTAATTGGCATTCTGAGTGTCCCTTTTTTTTAACCTTATACAAAAATTGTAGAAACAATTTTTATTTACTATACTGCAATATATACTGTGAAGAGTTATTTATACATATGCATTTCACAGTATGAGAAGTAGCTGTCCATAAGCATATCCATGAGTTATCCATTTTCTCCATTTAGAGAATAGATCTTGCCTGTCTTTCTTTTTTGGGCTTTATAATTTTTACACTGGCTCCTGTTGTATTGTCCGCCTCAGTTTTAAATTGAGGTTTTGGTGCTTTGTAGTGCTTTATAATGCCCTTGCCCAGATCAGGGAATAGCAGGTATAGCTGAACCCAATTTGCCTTCAATATGGCACAATCATCTCATCGTTGAGATGGCCTTTAGCAAGATGGGCAGCATACAAGTTGATAAATAAATAAAATACTGCATAAATACCCAGGTGTATAGGACAATTTTACATCATCCTATGGATTTCACTCTGCTACAATATACAGTGTTGCCAGGTTCTGTGCAGCGGCGTTCAGAATTTATTGGACGATGACCTTTGCTGTACAGCAGAGTACAGGAAGCAAGGCATCACAAAAGGACAGCAACTACCTTAATGGGTAAAGGGGATAGGAAGAACAGCAGGGGCAATGAAGAGCAGTGTAATATGGTGCAGAGTGGCAAAGATAACAGAGCATGGCAGCCAAAAGGACAGAGACAGAGGAGAGATTTGCAGGTGAGGGGAGATGAAGCACCCTCTGTGGTCATAAATGTGGATAGGCTGCCAAGTGTCTGAATTTTGATCACATGACTACAGGAACACAGCAATGGATGTAACTTTGAGGACTAGCTTTGACTACCATTAGTTTCGCACTTTCCTAATTTCAAATGGCTGCTGACCAGATGCTTGTTAAGTAAGGATGACCTGTAATATCTGTGGCAAACACCGGCTGTACAGGCTTAACTCAAATCCTTAAATAATTGGGGATTGTAGAAATAGAATGCACATAAATAGTCTGGGTAGCAATCCAATAAGGAACAAAAGAGTATACTATTTAAAAGCTTATAATATGATATATATTATATATAATTTCTAATTTGTTTAATTAATAAGCTTAATTGTCCTAAATTAACATAAAAGTTCACTTGTTCATAAATGTCTATAAGCAGTAAGCTAATAAAAACTGTAGCATTTCTAATTAATTTAATTTACATCATAAAGATTAATTGTAAAATTCCGATAGCAATTCCATTACCATACAGTAGTTATAAAGACCTGTATTTGTATCTGCCAAATTTAAGTTAATTAGGAATGTTGATGCTGTTTGTTTTTACTGTCACAAAGCTCATCTTTAAAAAAAGGCTAGACACTTTCCCTCTCCCAACATTTATCATCTAAATAATAGTCTTCCCAAGATGGCAGCCACATAATAAACTCTTTTCAGTGGAGTGATGGGTAATGAAGCTTGCTTGTGAAGCCAGCGAAAAATGTTGTCTAGTCAAGTGCATGAATATGATAGCTGGAGAATCAGTGGACTTTCTTAGTCATCAATCTTTTTAGAGCTTCTTCTACATCTGAATATTTTGATAGATGATCAAATAATTGAGTTATCTATCTTTCTAACTATAAGAGTTGCATAAAAAATATTCTCACATAGTACTGAATAAACTATATTACACATCCATTACATTTTTTTTTAAAAAAAGGGCCAGGTAGTGAAGGGATTTTATAGTATCTTTTCTCCTTTTAAATTAACAAATGGAACTCTGAACAATTAAATATTTGGAATTTTTTATAGGAGAACCTATAAATAGCTGTCCAGTTTCTTCTTAACACTGGAAGTTTTGAAGAAGAAACTGGATAGCCATTTGTTCAAAATGGTATAGGGTTACCTGCCTGAGCAGGGGGTTGGACTTGATGACCTCCAAGGTCCCTTCCAACTTTATTATTGTTATTATTATTATAGAAGAGCAACCGAAAACACAGAATCTTGGATTAGATGGAAAACAAATAAAATGAAGTTATGACTAATGTAAATAGTACATCAGACATTATATAAAGTGTTTGTAGAACATCATGTGCCACCAAAGAATTTCTG